TTGCTCTCTAGTGTGTGAGCTTCCGGAGAGTTCAGCCTTTAATGTTTGGTGAATAGCGCAAGGGACAGTTAACGAGTCAGCAGGGCCTGAAATTGGCTTTGATCTCAGTGGCAACAGGGAACCATTGAAGGTACTTGCTTAGGAGAATGAACACCAGAAGGGAAGAGATGTTGAGTAAGAATGGGATGAATTACCTGGAAGAGAGAATCTAGGGTACAAAAACCATCTTAAACTTCTACTCAAAGTGGTCAGACCCAATCACTTGGGTGTTTGTTAGAAATGCAAATTCTGGGGCCTGACCCAGATCCACTGAATCAGAATCAGTGTTTTCAACAGATTCCCGAGCCATCGTGTGCCCACTAAGGTTTGAGAAGTACTGCTCTAGAGAAATTTGCGGCCTCCCTCGTGTCAAGGCCCATAATGCAAACAGAGTAGTTGAAATGACCTTCACAGATGTCTGACTTCTCTCATGTTTGTTCTTTAAGTTGCCAGAATGGATTTTCAAAATCATCATTTTGGTTTCCTTTATTTTGGGTGGAGAAAATAGTCTTCCAAACAGCATTTTTATAAACAGTCTCAGAAATGTTACTTTATGGGCTTGTTAAAACTTTAAGAACCATAAATCACTGATGTAAGTAGTCTCAGCTGACTATAAAGCCAGTCTGTCATGTGAAAGAATCTAATGGGGATAAATGACTCAACGCCCTATCTCTGCTATTCCCATGGACTGGAATTTAGGGATGAAGACAAGATTTTATAGGAGAGCTTAAGTGTGGTTGCTGTACACACTATAACAGTGTGCTTGTTTAAAATCTGAGGAGGAAAAAGAAAGCAGAGGACTAGTTTTATTTTGTATTGTTAGAAAGTTTGTGTAGTAACTAAAGGAAAATAAATCCATTAGAGCCTGCTACTGTCACACATTAGCTGTATTTTTCTGTTCCTTTACCAACGTTGTCCTTCAAAATACAGACTTTTCACGTAACTTATAATCATGGTATAGATGCAGCTTTGTATTCTGCTATGTCATACAGCACATTTCCCTGCCTCCCAACTCTTCCTCTTCCCTTCTATTCCAGCTGTTCTTTCTCCTCTTCCTCCATCCCTGACCTCCCTAGCTCTGATCCCTGGTTCATCTTGGGCCTCTCCCACATTATTTCCTGTTTAAGAGTTTACTGATTCCTCACTGTGTGCCTGAGCATCAGTTTCTTATTGCAGCCTCAGCTTATCCTGGCTCTGCTAGCCCCAGACACACCTTGCTTACCTTCTCCTCTGCTACCTCCTCAAAACTAGATCTGTTTTTCATACGATCAGCTCGTGACACATCTGCTCAGTTCTCCCAGGGTCCTCACTGAGGGATTTGCAGTCACCACCCACCTGCTTTTACAATGGAGTCTGCCCTAACGGTTTCACAGGAGGGGCCTAAAAGCACTGTCTTCCCCTACCTGCCAGATACTCTCAAGGTGACAGCTGCAGAGGATCCTGAGCAATTGGCAGCTAAGTTTGGTAGCACAGGGGTCAGAGGATAGATGGGGGTTTTTATGCTGAGGATGCAAAAGATCAGAGAGCAGGTGACCCCACTTTGAGCCAGGGAGCTAGAGTTCCTGGCTCACCTCTGCATTTTGAGTCTGCCAGGGGATGCTTTATCTTAGACTGTGGCAAACTTTGAACTTTGGGTCAGTTTACTTATTTCCCTGAGTCGTTCTGTTGCTAAGAAATTTGGCAGATTAACTATAAAGAATATAACTGATGGGCCGGCCGAGTGGTTCATTAGTTAAAAGTTGGCTTGGGACACCGGCTCTGAGCAGTAGGACCCTGGTTCGGATCCCACATGAGGGCCAGTGATGATGCGCCCTCTATAGCTAAGATGGTGAACAACAGCTCGACCTGGAGCTGGGCTGCCGTGAGGCGCCGGCAACGGCGTAGGCTGCAGTAGAGCTGTAGTGGGCTGCCATAAGCTACCATGTGTGGCTGGCAGCTGGCATGAGCTACCAAGAGCTGCTGTGAGCGGCCGTCCAGTGGCCGGTGACCGATCTGCCTCACCTGGGAAAAGCACAATGATAATACCAACATGGGCCAGTGAAGAGACGTCCTCTACAACTAGACTGAAGAACAAAAGGGCAGCAACTTGTCTGTTCCCCTTCCCCGATCCCCCAACGCTGTTCCCCTCCCGCAATTCCCCAATTAAAAAAATAATATATATAAAAAAAAGAGATAACTGATATTTTCAAAGGGAAATGATTTTGAACCAAATTAAGGAACTTAAATCAGAAACTTTGTGTAAGTATTGAGAAAAGACATTTAAGGTGAGTCATTGTTCAAATAGATTGCCTTAAAATGAGAATTACCACTTCATCCTGTGCTGGTTACTGAAGATAGCTTTTAGCATCTAGTTGTCTAGTTGGTGCTTGACAAAAAGAATATCAAGGATATTCTCCAATAAAAAGGGGCAAGTTCCTGTTTAGCATCAGATGTGAGTTTGAGAAAGAATGGTGGGCTTTTGCTCATGAAAATCAGCCTTTGCTTTTCAGACCTTTGAGCTCACTGCATATTAGCCTGTGTTGACAGTTTGCTTCTCAAACTTTCTTCCAATATAAAGAGTGAAGAGGTGGAGCAGAATGGGTAGGATGGAGAGATGGGATCAGGAAGCCGTTAGAGAGGAGGGTGTGTAAGTAAAATGGTTCTGACCACAGATGGCTGCAGACAGAGTGATGATGCTTCCCCATCACCTAGGACAGTCACTGTTTAAGCTGCTGTCCTGCTGTGATTATTAATATTGTTCCTTTTCTCTCGAAAGTGTCTTGGTTCGGATGATAAATTATTTGGTCACCCTACTGCAAATAAAATACTTCATGCCAGACACTGTACCAGATGCTTTCTGTAATCCTCACAGAACACCTGAAAGGTAGCTGCCGTTGCCACTTTGCAGATGAAAAAGATGCTCAGAAAGTCTAGGTCATGTGACTGAGATCACTCAGCGGCAGACGTGGTCAGCAAAGTAAGATCTGTCTGACTTGTAACGCGAGTTCACTTTTCCCAGCCTGCCACACTGAGGGTTTAACGGGTATGGCCTCCTGCATTTTAGAATCCAGTGAAGGAGTCCTACAATGGTAGTGGAAGCCTTTATGTGGAAGAGACATTGTGAGAGAGAGTGGACAAGAATAAAGGTGATTGTCTGCAGTGGGGATGCTGGGAGTGGAGGCAGAGGTGGTGCTACAGGCTCCTAGACGCGTGTGGCCATTTGTTCCTAAATGTCCTGCAACAGACCTCTCTCAGGCCTGGAGTCTTTGGGTTGCGGGTGGGAAGGTGCTGCTGGTTATACAGGTAAGGACTGCTCAGATTTGATGTGTGTACCTATCAAGTGGGAGTCTCGTTGGAGTGTAGACACATTCCATAGGTCTCCGTCGGGTCCTGAGAGCCCGTATTTATCACCCGCTCCCGGGCAGTGAGAGGAGTCGAGTTGATGATTAGGTTCTCTCGGCCTGGGCCATGGGGGTTACCATAGACACAGATGCCCTGATTTTAGAGGGAAGGAGAGAAATGGTTGCTTCTACACACAGAGACCGTCACATTGGGGTGGAAGGGACTGGACAGATAACTAGTTTAGGGGGAAATGGGCACTGAAATGTGGATGTTTATAAAGGAAGCACTATGTTTTGTAATGAATACGTACGGATTATGTTCAAAGTATGTTCTTAGCCTGGGGGAAGGGTGGCGTAGGGAGCAGGGTGAGATGGGGGCTGCAGCAGCACAGTGAGTTCTTGCTAGGCCTGTGCAGGCTATGGCAGACACAGAAGGAGCAAGCAGAGTATTTACAGCCAGACAGGAACAAAGTGGATACATGACACAGCAGCAAAGCTCTTAAAAGCCCTCCAAGGGAGGAGTCCCTCCCACAGACTGGCCATTCCCCTCCAGGCTGAGACTCTGGGCCTGTGGACATGAGCTACTGCAGGAGGCGCTGGCCAGTATTTGGTGCCTGACAGCATTAGCCCTCCTTCTGTCCACCTCGGACCCTGTCACGGGCGGCAGGCCCCAGGTGGGCTTGCTCCTTGCGTCTGGTTACTTCTTCTATAACGTGGGAGAACAGCAGGGCGGAGTGCTGCCAGCCTGGGCTGGGGGGAGCAGCCAGCCTGTTGGGGCTGGGGTGCTTGCCCTCCCTCGGTTCTGAGGGTCATGTTGGAAAAGGACTGATGCAGGAGAGGATGGATGTTGGCGAGAAGGCGATGGCGGAGGTTCCAGAAGCTCTGGGCAGAGCTGGTCTTTATTGCTGGAGCTGTGAGTGGCCACAGAAATAGGGCCTTGGCCCTGGCAATACCCCTGAGAGAGGGCGCAGGCAACTAAAGTCATCACAGCTGGCAGCACAGCAGTGAGGCTCGAGGCTCCTGGGAGGGCAAGAGAAAGAGTCTTGACAGAGCGGAGTGATGCGAGCTGAGCGTGGGTTTTCCATGGGGCATAAGACTGCTTCTGCTGCTGTTTCTCTTGCTTTGGTCTGTCAGGCGCTGGGGAGTGTCTCGTCTGTCTGTGTCCACAGTTGCAGGAGGGAGGGAGGCACTGGACCTGACAGATCTGCTCATGACTAATGCCCATCCTTTTGGGGTGAGGGGACCAGAGAAGGAATTATCCTAGTTGGGGCAGATGTTACTGGGCGTGTGGGTGTGGGCCATACCGAGAGCAGCCTGGCAGCTCCCCTCCTGCTGCCAGCGCTGACCCCTTTCCTCTGTGATAAGCTGTTCCAGACAAGCCCGGAGCACCAGGCGCTGGTCCCCAGGGTCCAAGTGTGCAGTGTTTTTCTGAAGGTTATCCCATTCCTCGGTGGAAAACCCTGCTGTGTCAGGGTACTGCTCGGGTCGCTTGGAGCACACACACGGACTGTTGCTGGCAGGACTGTGGAGCTGTGCGTAGGGCTGCAAAATCAGGGCTTGAGCAAGCAGCTGGAGAGAGTCCAGGACTAGAGTGTTTTTGGGTTTGGGGGTGGAGAGCAGAGGAAGGGAGCGGGCGGGGCAGGAGGGCAGAGCTACATAGGCAGGCAGGCGCTGCTTGGGCTCCGCTGTCAGCACAGAGGACCTCAGTCGTGCCTGAGGGCCGCTTGGCCACCATTGCCGGAGACCGGAGGGCGCCGCCTCGCAACCCTGACTTACCGGCACTGGACCCGGACTGTTCCAAGTGGCTGTTGTGCTATCTTTTCCCTGGGAGGCAAGTCTCCTCCCTGTCGTCCCCTCCTGCTCCTCCCCCGTTCCGTGAGGGATGTTGCCGCTCTCTCGTGCTCGCTCGGCTCAGCCGGCTGATGTCACTGGCAGCGGGGAGCATCGGCAGCCTGATCACACGCTGGCCCAGTCTGTAATGCGGACGGGATAGGGGTGTATGTGTGGGGAGGGGGCTGCATGGCCTCTGCTCTTGCTCTGACGCCCCCAAAAGTGCAGAGGCAGTGGCTGCAGCATTCAGCCTGCTTGGATGTCTGGTCCTTAAGCCTAGGAAACTATTATTAATATTTATTGTTGATAATCCTGGGGCAGAGACAGCCCTTAACTCTGGGGTTTTGCTGTCCTCCTGTCCAAAACAGACTTCCCGGACTCTGAAGAAACAGTTTCAAGCAGGATGCTTTTCCCCACCTCTGCGCAAGATTCTCCCCGTGGCCTCCCAGATGCAAATGACTTGTGCCTTGGCCTGCAGTCCCTCAGCCTCACAGGCTGGGACCGACCCTGGAGCACCCAGGACTCGGATTCCTCAGCCCAGAGCAGCACACACTCGGGTGAGTGCCAGGAAACGAGTTGCCTGGGGGAGGGGGCGCATGGGTGGCAAGCGAAGATGTCCACAGCAACAGTTGTTCTGTTCCCCTTTGCATCCCCCCCACCAACAGACACACACACACACACACAACATGGAGCTGTTTCGCAGGAGATGGAGATGCTGCTGGCTCTGCGTGTGCAGGACAGATGGTTGCTCGTAAAGGCAGGCACGGCTCCTCCACGTACCCTGACAGATTCCCTGGAGTTGTTCGTCTGCACCTGGGGTGGCCCTGAGAAAGGTCCCCAAGGTGACAGCCTTATGCAGAAAAGATCCAGATAAACCTCCTGGTACCCAGGCCTGTCTCAGAGATGATGAAGCAAAACACTTTGGGGCGGGGGAGGGGACTTCAGAGGCTGATGACTGGATGTCCAGACTCTGTTTCTCAGTGGCTTTTAATGTATGAAGGATGGATGGTTCCTGATGGTGGCAAGCGAAGAATTATAACCTCAAATGAGGCTGGGTAATCCTGGGATATCGGAATTGGCTTAACATAGGTTCAGAGCATTGATCCTGGAAGAGGGTAGGTTAGCAGGGTGGAGTGACAGCTACGGAGGGGTTTTTTTTTCTTTCTTTGTGTTAAGGGTATCCAAGTGGAAGAGCCACTCCCCTTTAGGATTCCTAGTCACTTGGAAGGATTTGATGGGGACAAATTGAAGGGGCTTCTTGGCCACCCCTTGAACTGCTCCTGCTCAGACCTTCCCATTCCCCATTTATTTCTCTCTGGTGTTACCAAGTGGGGAGGGTTGTCTAGATGCAAGTCTTGGAGTATTCAGGAAGAAATGTGAACTTAAGAAATACTATAGGTATACTTAAAACCTACATATTTGGCTTTATGTAGGTTACACCGTAATACTTATGAGGATGGGAAGGTGGGATGGGGGGGCAGCCTTTTGCTGTTGGTGCTGACAGTGGGAGTCACTGAGCTGCTCCCCTTCCCTTGCCTCCCCCACTCCAGAAACTGGCAGTCATGGCAGCAGGGTACCGCCTTGCTGATTTCTCTGGCCGCTACCCTGTTTGGCGCAGGTCTTTTTTTAGAATGCTTTGCAGAGCCTGGGACTGTTGTGTCTGCTGGCATTTTAATGCCCAGTAGTTTGGGTGAAATCCCATTGGATTGGGGGTAGAGGTTTGGGGCTTTTTTATTTGGTTGCGGGTAGGGAAGAGCTTTGCCTTAAGTAACTACCTCCGGGTTAAGGTAGAATTTCTTGGAGTACTGGCCTTCAGCTAACTCAGGTTTTCCAGAAAGGTTGGGCTGCCCTCTTCCCCTGGGCGAGGGAAGCGTGGTGTCCCTTTTGGTATCCTGTGCTTGGAGATCCTGGCCTGGAGGCCATGCTAGTTTCCTTTATGTGGTATTCTTGAAGCCAACCTGGGTGGCCTGCAAAGCTGTCCTTGTTCCCTGTCCCCCTGCACCAGGAGATGGGCACCTGTCTGTGGCGGTCAGTGTCCGACCAGGGCTGGTCGTTCACTGCTGTCAGATTGGGGCGTGGTCCTTGTTTGGCTCTGGTTTGTCTTAGCTACAAGGGTCCTTCTGAAATGTAGCCCAGCCCACAGATGTGCAGGAGGGCCCATTCTTGGGGCTTGGAGAGCTTGGCCTGCAAGTACTGTGAAATTAGGCAGTAAAAAATAGCTTGGGATATTACTCAGCAATAAAAAAGAATGAAGTCCTGCCATTTGCAACCACATAGATGGAGACCTAGAGAGTATTATGCTCAATGAATTAAGTCAGACAGAAAGACAAACACCAGGTGATTTCACTTATATGTAAAATCTAAAACACAAAACAGACTCATAGATAGAGAACAAACTGATGGCTGCCAGGGTGGGGTTTGGGGAATGGGTGAAAAAGGTGAAGGGGAGTAAGAGGTACAAACTTCCAGTTACAAAATAAATAAGTCACGGGGATGTAATGTACAGCAGAGGGAATATAGTTAAGATTATCGTAATAACTGTGGTGCCAGATGGGTACTAGATTTATCGGGGTGATCACATCACAAGGTGTATAAATGTCAAATCACTATGTTATACACCTGAAACTAATAGAATATTGTATGTCAACTACAGTTTAAAAAATAATAATAATAACTTGGGTGCAGCCATGATTTCCCTAGCTTCCCCACCACCTGAGAGGCCCGTGCTTCTAGTTGTTTGTCTCTGAACTGGGATGGGTTTACCTTCCATCCCAAGTACTGTCGTGATAAATATGACATGATTCAGTGGCTCAGGGAGGGACTGCAGTCGGTGGCCCTGGCACTCCTAGGCACCCGAGGGTGGCTCCGGTAGTGGGATCTGGCTACAGGCAGGGTTAGTGTGGGTATGCTTTCCTCTCCGATGGTTGAAGACACACCCGTCCCTAACCCCATGTTGTCCTTGGACTTCGGAGCTGTGGTGATGGCCATCTCTCCTTCCCCGAGTTCTGGGCCTTCTTGGAAAGCCCACAGTGAGGGTGTGTCTCCTGGAGTGGAATGCCGCCCTCCGCTGCCAGCTGCAGTGCCGGATCGGGTACCCGTGCCAGCAGTGCGGGAACAGGCAGCCCACACTCCACTGCGTACACTGCCTTCCCATCTGAAGACCAACCAGCTCCGATTCCTGATGGAGGGAGGAGGTATTCAGGCAGCTCTGGGAGTCATCCCTGCAGATAGTTGGGTGCCCTGCTGTCTCTACGTAGAGCAGGGTGCAGGCTTATTCCCCGGGCTCTCCTTGGTGATATATGGCTTCACATCTGACCATCTTCCACCACTCTTAAGTATTGAGCAGTGTGGGGCGCAAGGATGGAGATAGCAGGGCTCTTGACTGAAAAATCTTGGCTGAAAACTCATTCAACAAACATTGAGCACGAGCTATATGCCAGGCGCTGTGTTGGGCACTGGGGATAACCTCGTGAGTAAAATTGTTACCCTTAAAAATCCCCATGACCACTAAGGGAAAACAGATGGGAAAGTATACCAAACGCAGTCTGATAGTTGCTGTGCTGGGTGTTCTGCATGGTGATGACCTTCCATTGGGTTCTCAGCACGATGCTGGTACATGGGGACCTTTCTCCAAGGGCTACGGTTCTGCTGCTGCTTGCATTTCATTGGCCTCAGAGGCCTGCAGGAAGACCCTGGGGTAGAATCTGGTTTGGAGAGTTGTGCTTGCAACGCCAGCATTGGTTTGGATGTGGCCCTTTGTGGGGTCCTTCCCTTCTAGACAGTGCCTGCCCTGAGGCCTCATCTCTTGCTGGGAAGACAAATGTTAGAAGTGGGTTTTCCCCAAGCCCCCAGTGGCATGTGCTCAGGGCTGCCTTTGTCCTACCTGCAGTGTCTCAAGCCCTGCAGTGGAACAGCAGGTCATCCTTAGTGTCCTAGGATGGGGGTACAGGGACAATAACCAGCATTACTGACTGCTTCCTTGTGCTGAGTACATCGTGTGATGTTAATGCTTGCACCATCCTGTAAAATGGGTACTATTATTGCTCCTGTCCTAAAGATGAGGAAATAGGCTCACAGAGGTTGCCACGTGCCGAGAGTGACACAACTACCAGAATTCCAACCCAGGTCTCTGTGGTTCCAAACCTCTTCTGCTTTCAGTTACACCTGTGTTGCCATGAGCAGAACCCTAACGTGTTGGGTAAGAGCACTCATTCTAAGGCATCTCCATCTACGCCAGAGGTGATGTGTTCCCTGCTGAGATCCCTAAGGCCCCAGGCACATGACTGGCAGTCCTGACTCCCTGTCCTCCTGAGTCTCAGCTCGTCCTCTGTGCCACCCGATGGATTGTCTTCCTGCCTTCCCCCAGGTGACTCTTTTGCATGCGGCATAACTCAGCAAGAAGTGGGGTGACCGAGCATCCACATTGGGGGACCTGGAAACGAGGACCCCCAGTGCTGCCTTGAACCGAAGCCCTGGGGCAGACCAAATGCTCCGTGTGAGGGTGCCAGAGGACATGTCCTGTTTCCTGCACCCTCCTGTTGAGTCTCCGTGGGGATTAGCATGTTTGCCCTCTCTGGTTTCTGCCCTAACTACTGGTCAGTGAGTGGTGTGTCCCTATGCTGTCACTCGCAGGCTCCCCATTCGTCTGCAGGCTAGATCGGCTGGATAAGAGGGGAGTTTTCTGCATTTTGCTTCTGCTGCTGCTTTGCTTCCAAACAACCTTTCAAAGGCAGAGCCCAAAATAGGTCGGGCTCCTCCTCTGTGTGACATGGACTTTCCGGGCCCCAGGTCTCTTGCAAATAGTGGTGGACAGCTCTCCAGCACTACTCCCAGCACATAGCACAGTGCCTGGTCGTGGCTTTTGACAAGTACGTACTGAATGGGTGATGAGCCACTGTGCTAATCCTTGGTGTTTTTGAACTGCAGAATTAAAACTAGGCCTCCCCCAGTCTCTGCCTCCTACTTGTATTGATCTCCTGGGTGGACAGATTTTTCAAAGACTAGTGTGTCTCTGAGCCCTCAGAGCTTCCAGGACATGGTGGTGCATTTACAGAAAGTTTTTTGTCATGCACTGGAGCACGAGTTCTGTCCTGGAGTCAGCTAATCTATTGAGGAGTCGCTTTTAGTGCAGGGGACCCTGGGAAGCATTGTGACAATGGGGCATCCCCGAGGAGGGAAAAAGTTGAGGTGGTTGAGTGCAGGGACAGTGTGCGCTCACTGTACGTGGGACTTGGATACGTCCTTCTTCGGGCACTGAAAGTTGTCCAGCAATCAAGGCTGGGCAGAAAGGCTGTGCTGGATACCCCCTCGGGCCTGTGGGATCCAGTGTCGGTGGAGGGAGCTCAGACTCAAAAGGTTGCCCCCTGAATTGGGGTGTGGTGTCGAGTTCAGGGTGGGGGCCAGGAACGAGTGCTACCCTCCCACTTGCTACCCCTGTGCCTTCAGATGGATTTTGAGCAGACAAGTTAGAACCAAGGGTTGGGGTAGGGAAGGAGGGGTCCCAGGGTATGCGGCCTTATGCACTGGGCTCGGAGGGATAGCTCCTGGTCTGGGTTTT